TGAACGTGCTACGTACAATAACACGCAGCGGTCACCTCTTGGTAATGTCTGCTATGTAGAGAAGAGATTTTTCTGGTCATGCATGGACTCAGTCCTCCTTTCACTCCCAGTAACACGCTGCTCTCAGGTCATGCATGGACTCAGTCCTTTCACTCAGTAACACGCTGCTCCCAGGTCATGCATGGACTCAGTACTCGCTGCTCTCAGAAGATGACGAATGGACCCCGGAACGTTTTTCCTTTATTGACCTGTAGCAACTGGAGAACAAGCTCCTGAATTAGCTTATCAACACCGACTGCCTGTTGATTCATAAATGACTGTGGGACAACACCTCTGGAAACTTTTGAAAACTTCTGCTGTGATTGAGTCTAAAAGACATCTGGCACCTAAAAATAGAGAGAAATCCTTTCATATGCTTCATGTACTGAACAAGTGTAATTTTGAAAAGCTGTTTAGTGTCTCAGATATTTATGTGCTTTACATAGTTATCCATCGTGCTCCTCATTTAAAGAATGGAGAAACTGAGGTTGGCAAAAATAATGCACCAGGATCACAAAAGAGTCTCTTGATCCTTTGACCAGAGCAGCAGTCTGTCTGTTTTCCAAGCAGCTGGCTGACTTTACATGGTGATCTCTAAAAGAGGTATGACACAAGTGCAGGCTGACTGATGTGTGGGCAGGCTGTGCCAGTCATCTGTTCAAGGTAACCTTTTCTTTGTATTTCAGAGGCAGCCTCTGAAATCCATCCAGTCTCCATCATGGTGTTCCACACTGATGTGCATCTTGCTCCTGTGGAATATAGTTGACTTGAGAAGTTCTGGAGTTTTTTTTCTTTGTTTTTAGTTCTGATTTTATTTTTCTAACCAACATGAAAAATACTCAACAATTCAGACCTACACCTAGGGAATCCTGTTTTCCATCATGTTTTTTCTTTGCCCAGTGTTGTCTTTCTGAAAGAAGTGAAGGCCTTTTGCAAAAGCAAAACATGAACAATTTGAGTTATTTATAGTAATCACTGGTTTTGAGGCATTTACTTGCGGACAAACAAAGCAAAGAACTGAGTTGCTCTATCAAACTTTGTATTTTGGAATTTGTATGATCAGATAACAGTACAAGATAAGAGCCTCTTCATTTGTGGCAAAATAGTAGTCTGAATAAATACAGAAGTATATAAGATATTGGCTATGAAGAGAATTGGTTGTACATAAAGAGCTAGGTGTGTGGTAACTGAAATACAGCATAGAGAAAAGGGCTCTGATTTTTTTTTTTTTCAAAAATCTGCATTGCAGTGTCTTCTTGGTTTACTTTCTTTAATGTTTTTTAAAAACTCTGACACTTCCTGCCTGGCATAACAGGCTTTCCAAGCAATACGTGTTTTAATCTGGAAAGCTCAACTTAGGACATGCTAATTTCAAGCAGCCACAGTTAAGGTCCCTGTGTGGACCCTCACTCTCTTCAGAGCAGGGGTCAGGTCACATACTGGGCTTTTGGAAAGTAAGAACACCCTTGGCAAAGTGTCTCTGCCCTTAGAGACCTCTCACATGTCACATAGCCCCTTTGCTGTCAAATTCCACTGGAGTGCAAATAGTCCACTCCCTGCTAGGGCTGATGTCACTGAACTGAATGCATTTAGGATGCACATCTCTATATTCTCTTTGTTTGGAAACATATTTATATACACATATATAGGTAAAAAAAGAAAGGATCAAAGGTGTCTTTCTTCCTAAATAATTGGGGTATCTCTTTCCTCTGTTTTAGTCAAATATATGGGAGTAGTTTATAAATCAGTTGAGCTGGAGCTGCCAAACTTGGCTGTATATCTGAGCAGTCTGGATGGGAAGCCCTGGCAACTGATATTGGCCTCAAGCAGCTGATCATCAGAGCATTTCCTTCCCCTACCCAAACCAGCAAAATGACCACATCCAGCAGGCAGAGCTCTTCTACGTCTATGGTCAACAACTTGGCCAAAATATTTGATCCAAATGCTTTGCAAAACCAAGGGCCTGACAGTGATATGGAGCTCCCCAAAGTTCTTCATGTCGCAAGCAGTGATGTCAGCAAATCTGAAAGTTTTATCATCATGGATATGAAGTTTGCCTCCCTTGAACAGAAAATAGATAAGCTGTTGACTCTGCAAGACAATGTCCTTGCGAAGCTTAATAACGTTTCCCAAGAAATTGGTTGCATTGAAAAAGACATTGAGATTGTAAAGGCGGAAACAGCTGACTCTGGATCGAGTATGGAAAGGAACAAAAATCTGAGAAGTAATGAAATGAAGAGGCTTTGCCTTAAGATGGAAAAATCTTTTTCTAATATAAACAGGAATGCAGAGCAGCAGGTTAAAAGACTAGATGGACTGGAACAAAGTGTTTCTGGACTACAGAAGCTTGTAAGGCCTCTGGTTGAGAAGGTTAAAACACTGCTAATTCACAACTCCACTGTAAAACGCTGTGCTCAAAAGCGTAAGTTGTGCAAGGCAGGTGATTATGGAAAAGGAGCTGGACAGCTTTATAGGATGCACATTTTCTCAGAGAAAACAGCTGATGCCGTGCTCAAGAAGAAACATGAAAAGGTGAGCCCAGGTTTGTGTTTCATCTTGTCAGGAATCATTGCAAGCTATAGATATGTTCTGCTATGTGCTTAGCTTTTTAATTTCATTAACGTTTAAGAGAGAGCAACCCATATGCCCTAAAAATTAAAGGCATTAGAACAAACTGAGCAAATTTCAGCGGAAAAGAGAGAAGAAGATCTACAGAGTGATGAATACCTTGATTTTTTTCCTAATTTTTTCTTTACAGTTGTAAAGCATAACTAGGGGTCACTGACACGGGTGACCAAGATTGACACACTTCAGGAGGCTTGTGTGGGTCCTGGCCATACATTTTACTATCATCTGCTCTGGATTTATAATAATCTGGGGGAATCGATATGCAGCAGTCATGTTGTATGCAGCAGGGTCTAGAGTTTAGTGAAACTGGTAGAAATCCTTCTTGGGTCAGGGCATGTACATATGTATGTCCTTTATTTCAAAGAACATCTGAAGTGTTCTGTTCCAGTCTGGTATTTCTGCTGACATCAAGGACGGGAGGGAACTTCTAAACTGGGATCTGAGGTAGGGTTACTGTAACTGGAGCTGCAGCTTGTGTAAACTTCCTTGGGCAAAAAAGGAATGCCTGTCTCACTATAATGGGATTTTTGTCATGTTCTTTACAGGTCAGATTAAAAGACTACAAAAATCTCTTGAAAGGCTCCATTAACTAGAACAGGCTCTTGTAAGATGGTTTGACTATTCTTTCCGTGGTAAAGAAGCCAAACAGCATTAGAAAATTAAGGAATTTCTTCTGATGAAGTATGATGATATTTAATTAACCTACATGGAACTAAAAAGATTGCCTCTAATTTTTTTTTTTCTGCTTTGCTCTACTTTTTTTTATCTCCCCCCTTCAAAAAAATCACATACAGGCTTTACTCAATTACTCTGTGACCGCTGCGGCTTCTGGTAGAGCTCTGATCTTAGTGAAATTTCATATTCATCTAAACTATTTGTAAAGATTAACTGACTCAGGCAGGATGCTAATGCACTGGTGGCTCCTGGAGGCCCTAGTAAGTGTGAAGCTCTCTGTGCTGGAAGTGCAGGGTCAGAGAAGGGAAGGGATGGTGCAGGCTTTGCTGAGGAGTGTGGGAACTGGTGGCTATAATGTAAGAGGCAGGACAGGGGAGATCATGCTCCTGGCAGGCCAGAGGGGAGCCAGGTGGCAGAGGTGCAAGTGACCAGTGGAGAGAGTTCAGAGCTATGAAGGACCTGGAAGTAGAAGGTAGAAGGCTTGAACGTGATGGGAACAGAGACAGCCTACTGACAGGGACCCGAAGAGGAAAGGGGCAGGCAAAGTTTCTGACTTTTTCCAACAGCAGCCCCGTTTGTGATCCCCTCACTGATTCGTTTTTGTTTGGGTAGACTCTGAGCAATGCTGAGTAGACTTGGTAGGAGCTTGTCTAGCATGAGGGCTTAGGAGAGGCAGCACAAGCACGTCTGGAATCGCGCTGGTGATGTTATTATGCTGTAAATATTTTGTTTGGTTTATGAGATAGCATACATATGTTAGCTTGTCATTACCTTCCTCTCTGTGCGTTTGATTTATTAGTAAAGGACCATCATGAAATTATCAAGCTGTCCTGTGAACAACAGCTGGCTGTAGTAAACAGTCATCTTGAGTTTAAGTAAAAACAGACTTGAGTTCAGTGTCACATTAAGAATAATGGAACACGGTATGACATCCTTCAGCAGAGACTGTGCAGCTTTTCTCTCTGCTTAGAAGAAGCTGCCCCCTTTGTGTGAGGGGGTGGGAACATCATCTCTGAGCAAGTTAATTAAGAGGCAGGTTCATGAGACACCATGAAGTTGGTTGCTTTTGCCTCTGCTTGCCCCATATTCAGACTGGGTTTAAAAATGAGGTTTTAAATTGTTGTGAGAAAAGCAAAGGAATAGAGAAATAGGGGATCTCCCACTTGAAGAGGTTTTATACCTGAAATGTACTCCTGATACCTGGTGGCGTAACAATGAACAAACCTACCAGATTGTGCAGAAATCAGGCCTTGTTTCTGTTGTCACAGTCACTGTTATCACTGTCTCTAGTCCCCACCTGACAACTGTTTTGAACAGTGCTGGCCCTGGAGAAGTGCAGGCTGCCAGGCAGTAAGACAAACATCTCTTTCATCCTAAGTGGACTCCTTATGGTAACACCGAGCAGCCCTTCAATCATTTTAGCCATACACAGTCCTATTCTGTTTCCTTACATCTAGGAGTAAGGTGATCCATTCAGTGCAGTTAGTTTGGAAGAACAGTATCCACTTCTGTGCACTGCTGGAGGTGGTCAGATGGTTTGGGTGATGTGCCTGTTTGTCATCCATGCTGCCCCAGCTACGAGCAAATGCCACCTCTTCGTTCCAACAGTTGAGCTGTCTGACAAATACCTGGCTGTCCCCAGCCTAGTTCTGCAAGATAACCCAATCATTCTTACTCACAAGTATGTGGTGCACTGGGTGGCCATGAGTACATCTGGATAAGACAGTGGATTGTGTTTACATATTGCTCAATCACCTGCCTTTTCCATCCTTCTCTCTCTAGAGAGGTGCTGCTCTCTGCTTTGTTAATTGTATTTGTGTTTTAATTTTTCCTGATAGGCTTGTTTTACAGAACCAGATTAAGTAGAGAGCAGTGGAAAAGGCAGAATAAAGGGGAGGGAGGAGGGGGAGAGGGTGAGAGGTAAAGAAGGGGTGTTAAAGAAGTTAAATAAGCAGCTGGGATGGCTTCAGCAGCAGCTGGAACAGTTTCCAGATCACAGGCTCCACAGGGACTTTTGTGCTCTTGCATAATATATAGATCTCTCTCCTCTGAAGCAAAATTTCTGCTTTCCTGCCTTTTACTGTCATCCTGAAATACCTCCACTGCCTCGTACAGGAGGTGAGTTTATTTCTGTTTGGGGTTGGAGGTATAATATTGTGTAGCCTACAGACACTTCATTCTTTGTGGGTGCTGCCAAATGTCTCCCAGCCATTCCCCACCGAGGGCAGCGTGACCCTATCACCACATGGCTGAGAGGAGTAGCATGTATTATTTGTCATTTTAAGTGATTTTTCTCACTACTACCACCCAGGGAAATCAGCAGTTCTACAGTAAGGGTCTTTAAAAGTCTTGAGGTTTTACTCAAATTCACCTTATTAAGTAGTCCCTGATAATCTTGTTGCAAAATGACTCTGTAACTCTATTTCCCGTCCTATTTCTTTCACTTATAAAGAAAGGGGGTAAAATAATACTTCATTTATTTCTTCAAATTAAACAGTTTAGAGATTCTATACTATTAACCTGCAAATACTCACCTGGAGAGTCAGGCCCTTTTGTTACCGTTGTAAAGCAATGCTGAACTTTCCACAGTTGCCTGCAGGTTGCTGTTACTTCCATCTCCTGCTGTTTCTCCAGGCTTTGCCATAGGACTAATAACTATTAGCAGTTTCCCACACTGAAAACACCCCAGCAGTGGGAGCTGTGTTTTCTGTCTGAGCCCTCGGTCCCTTGCATGCAGGTTGTGCTGCAGCTGCAACTTACTGGCTGCTTTAGTGGGAGTCTGCAGTGAAACTGCTGTCTACCACGTGCAGTTTAAGATCCAGTCAGCCTCAGTCTATAACTGTTCTTCTGATTCCTTCATTTTGCCTACGGACACTAATGGGTCCCTTATGCATTATTTAAGTTCTCTCCAGATTGGCCATATTCCCTGTATTTTTCATATTCCTGCCAAATAGGCAGGAATGGTTTCATTTTTCATTTTTCATCTCTCTGGAAGAGTTTCTGGCATCCTCAGTAGTTCTGAGGGCAGAGGCTCTGCAGAATCTCTGCAGATGGGTTGTCCACTGCTTGGGCATTCAGCTGCCATTAGACTTGGGAATGCTCTTCTTCCCTTCAGGACTGGTCCCTTCACCTGAACAAGGTGTTCTTGGTAGAGGTATTCCAGTTTTCAAATGAGCTGTAATAGGCTTATTATCCTCTAACTTTGTCTATAAAACCGGAATGTTTTCTCCAGATGATGTTTTCAACTTGTTTTGCCCCATTCTCTCCCTTACTGACAGCCATAGGAGATTTTCTATGCCCTTCCAGTTGAGAATGCTGTTTAATTTTGCTTTCATTTAGCCTTAGAACTTGCTGTGTGCTTTACGATGTTCCCTGGGCAGGATCCTGCTCTGGGCACTGCTGTTGTGGTTTTGCTCTCCCCACAGCTCTGAGGAGCGTGTGGAATCGAAGATGGCACAGCTGGTTTGTAAACACCTGCACACCCCCTTGGATGGCTCGGGGGCATGGCATTAATGCCTGTGTGTTACAGCCTCCGTTTTAGGAATCCACTACAATTCCTTTACAAAACTGGAAAGGACTCCCGAGGAAGGGAGACAACCAGTAAGTGCAGGAGAGCAGAACAAGGCAGGTCGTGAGAGAGCAGTCCTTTAAGAGCAAGAAGTTCCTTATAGAAGTGAGAGCAGTAGGAGGGATTTGCTCAGGCAACAGCTCTTCGCCCACTGCAGTCATCTAAAATCCACGCTTTGTCATCAGCTCTCCTGGCCAGTTTTCAGGTGAGGACTCCTCTCAGACCTGTCAGGGGTCGGTGCAGGGTCTCCACCACGCTGCCTGATGACAGGCTTGGCCACTCGGGACCATCAGTGCACCCAGCAGTGCTGGGCATTGAGCACACGTGCAGCAGTGAGGAGGAGCAGTGATGGCTGGCTTGGAGGAACAAAAAAGAGATACTTGTGACTTGAGTTTGCTTTATACCAAATAATTATTTCTTTATCTAGTTCAAGGAGTTTTATAAAGATCACGGAAGAGTCAAAGTCTTTGCCTGAAGGTGCTAGCACTTTGTGCAGTGTACCAAAAAATAATGACCTGGAAGCAGATATACTGCCTGCCAGTCAAGGCAGAATTCTATGTGTACAGTTTGTATGGTAAGTTTGTATCAGAAATGCTTTCGCTGAATACTTTACGTTGCTGGGGAGAAACAATGGTATGAACTGAAGGGAACACAAAACGGAAAGAGGGCTGGGTTCCAGCTTTGGGGGTGGCACAGGAGATGTCACACGTGATGTGTACTGATGTGGAGACGCTGGGAGCATCCCCAGTGCTGGGCTCAGGTGGCAAAGCCAAGCTCAAAGTATACTTAAGCATGTTGATAAGTGCACGGTAAGCAGGTTTCACACAAACCCAGGATATCTTGTGTAGTTCAGCTCTGCACAATACCTTAAGAACACGAGAAAGAAACAGAGAGAAAAATGTGGTTTAGGCATATGTGAAGTTTCGTGTCTGTGTATCACCTGATTGAAATTGAGAATAATGCCTTGATATCAAATGAAACTTGATGGGGTGATGAAGGACTTCTAACTAAAAGGCTGGGGCTGCTTTGTGAGGCTATTCATTACAGTGTAGTTGGAAAAGAAATCAAAGAGTTTCATTAGGGGAATAAAAAAAGATTGAAACTTAGCTAGGAAAACATTCCAAGGATAGGACTGCTACAGTATAAAGAAGGAATTTAACTAAGTGTAGCTTATTAAAAAGGAGTCTGTCTATAAAAACCATCAATTTATTGCTGCATTTGAAATTTCTATTAAAATATATTATATTTATGTTATATAATTTCTTATGCTTAATTTCTGCAGGTTTCTGAGGTCAATTGAAATAACTTCCAAAAGTGTGGGGTTTTTTTTCCCTGTTGGTCTATACTGAAGTTTCAGCCTCGGGGCTATCTCCTGTCATTCTGTTATCACATGGGCTTTTACTCTGTCTGTATTACTGAGGATCTAGCAATACTCTGTATGTAAGAATATGTTTAAGTCTGGAAAATGTATTTTAGAAGACACAATACCAATTTTTGTAGGTACAGATACCTTTTTGCTTTGGTATATTTTGCAGGGTCACAATGCAGCCTTTCATATTTAACCTTTTTTGGAATCAAAACGAAAGCTTCATTGAAAGCTTTTGTCTTGTATGAATAGGGAGAACGACTGTAGTGCCTTTAATCTCATTGCACATGTTCAAGTCATTAAAGAAAGGGGAAGAAATAAGGTGGAGGCATGATTTCACCTAAGAAATATTGATTCATATAATTTTAGAAATTACAGACGGGAAGAAGTCGCATGTCACCAAAGTTCAGGAAGAATAACGCATAACTACCTGAAATCCCACTGAGGGAAAGTTGAAAACACCCTTAAGAAAGCACTGCCACCAGACTGAAGGAAGAGGGGTGTTATGAAGAGCAGTTTTGTAGGATGGATGTTGTCAACCAATGAACACACGTTTCGGGTGATGTTTTCAGGAGGTTGTGGTGGCCCTGGGTGCTCTCAGAGGAGCTGGCTCAAACGCCCAGGGCCAGACGCCATGGGGTGCAGGACCCTGACAGACTACAAGGGGGTCTTTGTACCTCCTGTGGCCAGACTGGGAGGGATGTGTTGCCTTCTGTCAACTCCAGAGGACCTGGTGCTACCCCACCCCTTACAGGGAAGAAATGATGTGCAAGAGTTCGTGGTTTTATTGCCAGGTCAAGAAGTCACCTGTTGCTACAAATAGCAAACTGCGGGGAAAACTTGGATGTTTATGTATAGGCTACTCGTGTGTCTACAAATAATCCAACACCTAGTCCTTATATTTGTATTTCTTATTCTAGCGCAGTACTGTCCTTGTATTTATTGCAAATAGCTACATTTATTGGTTCTGAAAGACAGCTGAAAATGTTTCGTTTGTATTATTTTTTTCTCATTTAAATTACTCTGAGCTTCTCATCTGCTGTTAAAATGCAAGAGATTACAAATGATGCTTGAATGAACACTGCAATAATTTATGTAACGCCTTGGCAGGTTCAGGTATCCAGCATCATCCAGTGTTCCTTCTGCTGGGTGAATTTTCAAAAGCTGGCTTCTGTATTTCACACCTGCAAACTACAGCAGTATTTAGCAGGGAGTGCTGTGTGCCTGCAATTAATTCTGAATGCAGACATCACATCTGGCCCCGTGCATCAGAGAGCGCGGGGAGTGTTTCTCTGGTTATTTGCTCAGCTGACTGTATTTGGTCAGAGCTGATGTCCTCAGTGGTACGATGGGGTTGACATGCTTACAGCAATCTGAGTGCATTACTAATTGCAGTCAGGTTGCAGAATGAAAAGTCTGAGGTTTTTCCCTACTTCTTTTAGTGCTTTCCACCATTAAAGAAGGAAAAAAAAAAAAAACAAACAGAACAAACATTGCTTGATACCCTGTGATCCATCTGGAATTATGACATTTATATTTAAGTTCTGTGTGAACAAGGCTCCAATTTATGTTTCCAAGGTACCTACCTAGCTTTATTTAGGCCTTTTTGATTTTGTCTTGCAGCTTCCTTGGACCAACTGCATTCCAAATAGTTGTCAGTCTCAGTTCTTATGCTCATATTACAGTTTCTTTGTCCCTTTCAGACCAGGATTTTATGAACAAGTCCTGCTGAAAAAAAACCTTTCATGCAGTTTCATCCAGTTTTTCTCAAGCTCTTTTGCCTCTCATAGAGTCTCCTTTCCATTGAACTCGGTATTTATAGCAGATACACATTGCTTTAATTTCATGCCTATTTTCTGTATAGCCTGATAAAATTAAAACAAACAAAGAAAGCATAAAAAATGCAGAGGGCTCACCAGAACAAAAGTTCAGTAGTGGGATTCACTCATGCCCAGAGTACAGTAAGAAAAAGCAGTGGGACTACTTGCTTAAGATACTCAAAATTAGGTGCCAGGCCCTGTACGTTTTATGGAAATATGTATTATGTTGCTTCAGCTCATAGCTCAAAAACCAAAAGTAGTCTCTCTGGAAAATATTTGGAGGTATCTGCATTTTTCACGGCCTGGGGATCTATTATTAATGATGATAGTGGCAGTTTCATAATGCTGTGAGAGGAAGGAGGAGGGTGGAAAAGGAGCACCGAGCAGCAGCATGGTTTACTGTGGTCACCGTCCTGCTGCAAGGCCAGGAGCGGCTGGTGAAAAGCACTGAGCCAAGGGCGTAGGAATGTGAGTAAGCAGCCACAAAGGCAGCAGTAATTCCCTTTTAAGAGGCGCTGGCTTCCTATGAAGCACCTCTAGATGTCACTGCAACCTTGTAAAATGTAGGAAAGCGACAGCTACAAAGCTGAGTTAGGGTTTGTTCTCTGATTCCTGGTAACTGTTTCAGTCAGCCTGTGATAAATTATTGGACCATTAAAAATGCTGTTACCAGATGTTGATTAATAGCAAAAAACTTTTTGAAATCTGTCTTTAAGACTGTTACTGAACACTTTACTAGAATATTAATTTTTCCTAGCTTTGGTTTAACTAACCTAGTTTTTAACAGCAGAAGTCCTTGCAGGACAACAGCTCATTTCTGGGTGTTGCCTGAGGCTCGGTCCTGATCTCCTCTTTGCCGTGGTTATGCCAACACTGGTGTTGATTACAACTAAGATCATTCCTCTCGTTTTATACTGCCACTGATTAAAATAACGACCATGATTTAGAGGAAAAGCTTGAGTTAGAATACAGAGTGCTTGGATTTGAACAAAAAAAAAATCCCGGGCTGTGTGGGGTCCAACACAGCATGAATGCTGTATACACTAATACATCGATTGCCTTCTCCATAGGTCATCAAAGAAAAGTCACATTTGAATGAGACGGGAACAAAAGAGAAGAAGCCACCAGATTCAACAGGTTGGACTACTTTTTTCCTGACTAGTTTCTAATTTTTAAGGGTACAGCTGCACAGAAATAGCCATTACTCTCCTGAGCAGCTCCAGTGAAGTTGCTTGGTTTACATGTGTGCTCATCAGCATGAGTGAGAATTGTTCAAGCAACATCAACTTATTTTCACATGCTTGTGCACATTATGGCAAACTGCTCAAAAAAGTGCTCTGCTTCAGGAGTTTATTAGCCTTGACTGGGATGACAGTAAATTTGAGTGAGAAAAACATTTTCCACGGTTGTGTCTGAAAGGAAGAGTTTGTGACCCATTATATCCCTGCTGTAAAGAAGTAGTCTGCTCTTGCTTAGGAGACATTCACATTGACCTATAATGTGTGAGAGAAAAGCCTAATGCCTATTTCAAAATGCAACAGAAATTATGCTAAGTGTGCAGCCCTACTTTAAAATTGTTACTGACTGTCAGAAAGTTACTGACAGATTCCTTGGTAGTCTGTTTCCTTACAGAGGGGGCCATCCAGAGGACACAGTCCTGCTCTCAGGAAGAAGAAGTTGATAAACTCAACAAGGAAAATGCCAAGAGGGAAAGTTCTGTCCAGCTTCAAAAGGATCCTCCCAAGTTTCATACTGAAGGACCAGAAGAGAAAGGAGAAAGTCTGGCTTTCAATAGCTGCTACCAATACAGGAGAAGCTCTGTTCAGGAATCCTTCACTACAGAAAAGCAGCAAGAAGAAGATGCTGTTGATGATGCTTGTCAAACGATAACTGAGCAGGAGACAGAGGGTGACTCCCTGGCAGATGGAGAGAGGAAGGAGGAACATCAGGTGTCTGAAGATGAAAGACAAGAGGAGAGGGAGAATGAAGGGGAGGAAAATGCTGATAAGAATGCAAAAGATGTTAAGGAACAACCATCTCCTTCCCAAAATGAAAATGAGTCAGGACAGAGCCATGATCAAGAGGAACCAGAAGGAAGGTAAGGTCTGAAGCTCAGGCTACACATTCTTGAGAGAACCATGCTTCAGAAAATTTGTAGTTCAAGTTTCAAGGCAAAGTGGCTGATTAGTGTAAATATTGGTGAAAATTCAGCCCAATACATAAGTGTAAAATGCATTTTTCTCTCTGATCAGAGCTCTAATCTGAAATTATACCTTTAAAATGACAGGCAAACAATCCACCGTACACAGTACTAGTAGTGTGCTTTGATTGTTTGCTTGGGAAATAGGTTAGAAAGGTGGGAATTATGTTAGGCTGTTCTTCCTCTCTGAGGAGAATTATCCCATTGTTATGTACTGCAGTGTCATATAACCCAGGAGCAAAGTAAGGTTAGGTTAGGCCATGTACCAATTGGGAATTAAGTTGCTGCAAAATGTAGTAACTTAAGTGATAACATAAAACAGTGAAACTTTGCCCAGGAAATTAAACTGATAAATTTATTTACTGTAATTCTTTCTTTGCTGCACTGATATGTAGCCCTTCAGGCATAAACCAGTTTAAGCTCTCAGGAACTGGAACAGAGTGAAATCCCAATGCTTTCCTGTTGCTTTAAAGGTGAGATTGATAGCCAAATGTTAAATTTAGAAGAACTCACATGAGGATTTCAGTAATGGAGAAACATTTTGCTGTCTTGATTAAGTTAGGGGTCATTTTTATTTTTCAAAGTGAATATTGAAACAGATTATTTTAGACTGTGAAGCAAAATAACCTAATGTTATTTGAATGCAATAGATGTGTAGGCATTTTTCACCTGTTTCTAAATTTGCTTTGCTTTAAGTGTACACTGCTCTAATGCCATGTTTTGTCCTTGCAGGTGTAAAGGCTGCGAAAAAGGTACAGGAAATTATAGTTCAGTTACTGAGCAGACCTGCCAATCTGAGCATAGTGGTAGCAGTAAGCTCCGAGTGAATGATGGAGGACTGATCAAAGATGACAACACAAAGAGCAGGCTAGATGCAGAAAGTGCTGATGGCATATGTAAAATGAAAAAAAATAGCTCTTACAGGAAGTATTCTTAAAGGCAAAGCTTTTGGTTCCACTGGTATTAAAGTGATGATCAGAGAGAGACATCCATAGAAGAGAATGAGTTCATGGTTGTAATTAGTGGGGGGAAAAGTGGTGCATGGTAGCTCTGATGGGAAGCAATTGTTCATGGGCCATATCCTAAGCTGATTAGAAATTACATGGTTCTGTATGCTTCCATCTTAGAGGCTTCTGTTCTGGCAGAAATTAATCGCAACTAATTTGCTTCTACCACAACTGCTTGACTCATACCCTTCTCTTGACCTCTTGTTTTAACAACAGAACTAAAACTCCTACGTATAGACTGGTGGGAGAAATAATATCATGTGTGGCAAAATGGGTTGACCTGTCGAAGTGCTGAGTGTGAGTTAACACAGAATCTGCAATGCTCTGGCTGTAGCCTGTCAAACCAGCTCGCTCATGTTCATACCATTGCAATCCTAAGGGTGAACAACTGCAGTCTAGAGAATAAAGAAATAGAGGTTTTGTGTGGAAGCCTGACTGATGCTGGTGAACAGGCAGATAAATGGTGCTTAGGCACCAAACGCTGAAGCAGTGCTCACCAGGATGAGGCAGAGACTTCTAATATTAGACCCGCAGCTTGGAGTTCCATTGCCTATTCCTGTATATGAAATTATGGCACATGAGAGGATGACCTGAAGGATTTGAATATATATGTGTGTGCATGTGCATGCATAGGACTCAGGATTAATTTATTTGCTTTGGCAATGGGGGGAGAGTAGCAAAGGGAATAATTTATTCAATGTTTGTGCTAGGCTTTTGTAGCAGGAATTGGGAGATAGTGTAACCACGTCACAGTCCGTAGCCCCTCCTGAGCTCCGGCGTATTCGTAGGGATGACATTAAGGTTAGAGTCTCTCTTGGAGTATCTTTGATCTGTAATTGAAAGTCGTTCTTGAATAGAGAGAAATGCCCTCTGGTGTGCAGGAAGAGAAAAAAAGAGGGTCTGTCACTGGGAAATTCATGAACATTAATACTTAACCATACTTGTAAGGAGGCGCTCTGGCCTCTTTAAATGCTTCCTTGCCCAAAGTTTGGCAACGTTTGAGAGCTGAGCTTTAAGAAAGACATTTTCTTCTGGGGCCCTTGAAGTTTGTGGTGTTAGAGTCAAATTCTGCCTTTAGGGTAGAGGTTTTCTTGGCATTTTTCTGGTTTTGGTAGCATGCAAAGACCCCCGTTTAAGGTCCTGTAAGTCAAACTGCAGAATCCCAAGTAGGTGGCAAACTTCCAGAAGCCCCAGATTTTCATGATTCCTTGACCATGAACTAACTTCCTGACCATGTAAGCTATTAACACTGACAAAAAAATATCTAGGTACACAGCTGGTGTTCTGGAAGAATGGACATTCACTGTGAATAAGGACAATCTACTGCTACATTCATGACCAAAGTGTTCCTGCCAGCTACATGCTGTCATGGGTTTTTTTTTTTGTTTGTGTTTTTAATAATTTTCACTGTTGTAATGAATGGTTTTAAAATTGCTCCAGAAGCCTCACACAAAAGGGAGCTGGCATTCCAAACCAGAGAGCTCATGTTGAAACGCTGGAGCTCTAACCCTCCCAACCAGTTGAAGAAGTATTTGTCACCTTGGTCAGCCAAAGGTCACTCCTGGGAATATCAATCACATGAAAAACAATGTGGGTATGAAAGTTACAACACCCTGCAAAAAAACTCCCAGAGAAATTAGACATGCAGCGTTGGTCTCTGGCAGGGGTTTTGACATCAGGACGGCAGGATGGTCCAGTTTGTGGAGATCCACACAATAATACCAGAGACCTGCATTTGTGCTGAAACTCCCTAGCTGATGCAGTGTGCAGGTTGGAAACCAACCTTTTTCTGTGCTACTTTTTACCTTTTATCTGCCATCATTTTTTAAGGATGGAAATTCTTCAGAGCAGCATGTGACACTTTCCATGTGTCTTACCACACCGGGTCCTGAGCCATACTGCAGATCCCAGGTGCTGCCTGCCAGGGTGAAACTCCCTCACGTGCACAAGCTCTAAATGTGATCTTTAAAGGTGGTGACCACGCTGTGGAGAATGACAAGCTTTCTTAATCAGTAGAGAAGGGGATTCTTCACTATGAACATCAAAAGCTGTGAAATAGCCTCTTTCAGTGGGGCCTAGAGGAAAGTTCGATCTCTCTTCTTGCCTTACTTGAAAGTTACAGTACATACTCACTTATTAACAGTCCCTGAGAGGGGAAAAAAAAATAAAACTCAGAAAAAGCTGAATTCCTTCCAAACAAATTGCTGAGTCTCTTTGTGGGCATGAAGCTACATTGGTTTAGTCTAGTGGTCTTCACTTTGCCTCTTGGCTGCTGTTGTGCAGAAGGTGCTAACTTAATAAAGGACTCTTGGTCTTAGTAGTGTAGCTTCCCAACAGCACCCTGTTTTCTGAGCTGGAGCTTCTGGAATAAAACTCACCTTAAGTAACAGAAGGACCTACCTATAAAAGTTACAGTAGGTGTATTCTGTTCTTAAATGAACTTTTCTGTGGAAAAAAGGGACTGAAATAAGAGATAGACAAGCACTGCATGTGACCACTCATATGCTATTGATCTGTTTTGTCTTTTGCAGATAATAAACCTACTCCACCAGCACCATTTGATCACCGGATTGTCTCAGCCAAAAGGGTGGGGATCAGCAGTTATTATAATGTCAGCGAGAATGAAATCCTAGGAGGGTAAGTCAGATAAACCCAGCCAACATGGAAAGCAAGGCACAAATTCACAGCCACACACACTGGGAGGTGAATGGAAGCAACATGCCTCGTTAGAGCCAAAGTCATCAAAGTCTAAGCTCTTAACAGTGTTTTAGAGAGGGATGAAAACAGGAGGCTGATTTTAGTGTGTAAGTGAATCTTGGCCTAAGGTTTGGCACTGTCAGTCTTGGCTTGTATTTGGTATTGTTCTAGGTCAGCCAGCTGCCCTCAGGCTTTGACAGGACTCCTAGGATGCTGTAACACTTTACCTCGCATTGCAGCCAGCAGGACACAGAGACATGTTGTAGTCTTCTTTCTCTCTGTGGGCCCCATCCCTGATGACACATGCCTGTTTTCAGACAGATCAGCAGGCTAATGAGACAGGCCATGTAGTTGCTTGGTCTCTCATGATGACATAGTTTAGGAGAGAGTGACGTTGTCAGTTTTGATGGCAAAAATGGTCTTGGGTAAGTCTCTGTTTCGTCATAAAATCACAACCTTCCCTTGGAGGAGAACGAGGAGACAGAGCGGGGCAGGTTGTGCACATAAGCAAGTGATTGTCTGTACAGTATGTTGACTTCTCCAGGATTAGTCATGGTATGTTATGAGCTGACGACAGTGAATCATACAAGGGGGATAACATCAGCTAGAGGAGCGTGTGATTTTGGTGTGCTTAAATGAGTAGGAGCAAGTCTAATCTACACAACAAAACAGCAGTGACAGAGCAACTGAAATGGAACCTAGTAAGGAGAGGAATATTTCTGTTGTTTATAACCTCGTTTGAATTCAGGGCCGACACTAGTACTGCTGGATGACACTTTTCTTTTCTCCGTTTTTTTCCTAGAGGGCGATTTGGTCAAGTGTACAAATGTGAAGAGAAGGCAACAGGCCTCAAGCTAGCAGCCAAAATTATAAAAGCGAAAGGTCCTAAACAGAAGGTTGGTCAAGCATCATATTAGTCTTTTATTCCCTGTTGGATCCCACACTTCTTCAGCTACACAAAGGACCATGGCCAAGTGGCTCAGAAGCCATCACAGTCATAGGACCTTCTGGATTATCCTTGGTTCTAGTTCTGTTTCCCTTCTCCTCCAGAACTTTGAGTAATCCATTAAAGTTCTCTTTTTGGGGGTTCTCTTTTTTTTTTTTTTCCCCTTCAAGTCTTATTTTTAGCAACTTTACTTTCAGCTCTTTTTGTTTGTTTCTTTTCCTTTTTTTGCTTTCTGCTGTTAATTCCATTAGTGTTTTATTTAATGGTAAAACACTGGTCAGACCTGTGACATAGTGTATTCCCTCCCAGTCACACTGTAGCCTTTGCTGCAAGTGACTGATGTCACTGTGAGGGATGCTGATACAGGCATGATCTGGGCTCTTGACATCAACACAAGTATAGATGAGAAGAATGAGTCTGGCCTATTTTGCAAACCTTATAGCCACCTGGGGCTTACTTTCACAGGAAGGACATGGGTTGACTTTTCTTTCACAGCTCGATTTTTGTATACCAACAGCTGGTGGAACCAAGTCCTATTCTGCTCCTCTCTTTACACCCCTGTAAGCTCACCACTTGTCTGTGTGGGCTCTCCCCTTCCTTTTCCTCTCCAAATAGCTTATTACTGAAGCAGTCCCCCACTGAGCGCTGAGTTCAGTCTTCTTGACATCTTACCACTGCAGGAACCATCAAAGGAAAAGACTGTGTTTGGTTGCCATGATTGAAAACGTGAAGATAATGTAGATGTCTGTTTCAAACTATGTCCTGTTTCATGTAGCTTTCTGAAGAGAAAAGGCTTCTGTAACAGTACTCATAAATCTTTACAGGATGAAGTAAAGAATGAAATCAATGTCATGAACCAGCTGAATCACGTGAACCTCATCCAGCTGTATGATGCCTTTGAATCAAAAAATGACATAGTACTGGTCATGGAATAGTAAGTGTGTTCGTTTCTTTCCCTTTTTGTCTTTACCACTTTTCTTAGAATTGCCCATTTCCTTCAACATATGAAAGATGTTCTCAGAAGCAACACGAAGAAAGAATTTAAGGGAAAAGTGACGCCATGCAGCTATCGATGGTTTTTTTTCCAGTGATGTGCCACGTTCCTGTTGCTGTAAAGCCACAGCTCCAGTTGAAGACAGAGCTGTGTTATGCATCTTCTCTTTAATTTCAAATTTTAATGTGTCAGCTAACAGACAGACCTCAGAATATCTTCAGTGCTGAAAGGCAAATGAGAAGACATCTTACACCGAAGAGGAGCTAGTTGTCGGTGTTGTTCCTAGTCCTTATACTGGGTGCCTGAATGGATAAACCTCGTTTTTGTGCTGGGTTATTAGTCTAATGAGGCACAAAACAGCTGCTTTAAAGTCAAGTTAAGCAGATGCTGTCTTAAGGAAGCCAAAAAGGGTATAACTAAAACACTGAAAGGCATGGCAGAAGTTACGTGAGTTTGGCTATTCTGGACATTCTCAGACAGTCCTCTGAGTTTGGTCTATGTGATTAGCATATCACAAAAGGTGAATGGCTGTATAGCTATGAACGGGTAAGACAGAGGTATTCAGAAATGTCATAAGAAATAGTTTGGATAGTTTGAAATTTTGGATCATATCCCTGTTAAACTCTGAGGGAGGAGACTGCAGATTTAAATGCAGATTCTCTGGCATGATGTCTTGGTTTTCCATGTGACTTCATTAATTTCACTCATAAAAAATGATGACTCAGGACAGCATAAGGTTCAAATGTTGAGACTTTCATACTTACCAGTGAATGGGAGACTGCACTCTCAGACCTGGAAGAAGTTCAGGCCAGTGTGTCTGAACCTAGTCCTTACAAATTTCAGATCAGAGTTCAAGCTCATATTGTAGACTCACCTTACTGGACTTGACTATGAATTATTAATATAATCAATAGCATAAATTCTGTATTACTCTGGCTGCATGGGATTGGATTTGGACCAGGTCACCACTTTATTGTCTTTCTCTCACCAGTGTGGAAGGAGGAGAGTTATTTGACCGAATTATTGATGAAAACTACAATTTGACAGAGATGGATACTATCTTGTTCATAAAACATATCTGCGAGGGAATTCAGTACATGCATCAAATGTATATTCTTCATTTGGATCTCAAGGTAGAGAACTGAAATGTATATTTTGTGTAATGCCAGCTGTGGAAATTTTATTCTTAGTGGTAGGCCATACAGCTTAGCAGATTCCCCTGGCAGGAACAACAAAGGCCCTTATTCTGCTTTCCTTAGTCCAATGTGTATTTTCTTTAACCACATTGAGATCATTTAAATTACTACAGGAGTAAGAAAATTAAATTAGAATTGTGGTCATATGTCATCAAGCCTTATAGCACTTGAATTTTCCACAGACTGATTTACAGAAAACCAGCAACTGACTACAAATATCTTGCTATTTTCAATTTTGATATTTGGATCTCAGGACATTGTGCAAATATTATTTAACTCAACTGCACAAGATTTCTGTCTTTATATGTAAGCCATGGGGGTAGAAATTATCACCATTTTTCACCATGCAGAATCAAAGGCGTGGGTGAGTGAAACTAAACACAGGGGTCATTCACAATCAGCAGAAACCCTGCATATCTTTGAAGACAACACTACACTGTCATGATCATGAAAACATATTAACAGAGAGCTGGTTTAAGGGAAAATACACTAAAATGTACTTGCTAAAATGAAAGAAATAGAAATAGTCAGTGGCTGATGTAACAAATATATAACGTCTGTGTTGGTTTAGGCCAGAGCAGCTGCTGCAGCTGGAAGTGCAGAGGAGGGTGGCAGAGTCTCTGCTGCATGCTTTCTTAGTTACATGAACTATTAAACCTTTTACACAAAAAGTCCCCTCACATTTTTAAAAAGAAATCCACCAACTGCACATTCTTGCTCTGACTAATTATGGTTACCTGTCACCCCTTAGAAAACATTTGTTGTAAAGGTGGTTTTGATTAGACTACCTTTAAGCCGGCTCTTTCTCCCTGTCATAGTTTAGGGAGGACACTCAAACCAGGACACCACCTTAACCCAAATTTTCATCAGTTAATAGACTTGTTTCTTAACCTTGGTTTAGTGCAGGAATAAAATGGGATGATGTCTTTAGTTTTATGACTTGCTATAAAGCTTCCTAGTGATCCCTGAGCTTTTCAGCAAAGCTAAAAGAAACAAAAAGTGCATAAGACCGCTTTCTATTTGGTGAGATTTTTATTACAGCTGCTGGTTTTGGCTTGTAATAACCGAGTTAATATAGTAGATCTTTTATGTTGTTAGTATATATGCTATTGCAGTGGCTAAGCAAATGTGCAGATGCTTGCTGGGACCTGTTTCAGTTGCTCATCAATGACCAAACTCACTTTTCTCTTCCTTTATAACTATCCAGTTACCTAGAAACCTGTTGAGCAGAAGTTTGCATGGTTCTTTGGGACACATTAATTATGTTCTTGGAGATGGCACAGTTTAAATATGAGGTCAAACTGCTGACAAAAAGATACATATACAATCCAAGAAATTCTTCCCAGAGACTTCTTTTCATGTGCTTGCCAACTATGGCTTCTCCCTTCTGTTTTGCTTGTTCATAGATTGCTGTCAGTAACAAATAGTTTGGGGAAGAAAGTTGAAATAGAAAGAAAATCATCCTGACTGTAATCATCCAGGACTTCAGAAACTATGGACATATGGTGTTTAAAAGTCCTACATGTAAAATGAATTAGTAATGGTGACAAAGGTTAACTAATGTTTTAAGTGTTGAGGACTGTTTTGTTTCAAAGAGGACTCAATGAGCAACAAGATGGAGTAGCTATAAAACTGCTGGCAGTGAATAGGAGACTGTATTTTAGGTATTTACATTTCAAAGACAATTGGCCAGATTCTGTTCTCAGTCCTTTCTGTACGAATTTAGAGTAATTCTAGGATTCCTGCCAGGGAAGGCAAGAGCAGCACTTGGCCCTGTGAAAATCCAGAGGGCTTTAACCTGTGAATCCTACCTTTTGCTAAAATGTCTGAGAAAAATTGATGTGACTTGCTTAATATATATCAGTGCTCAGTCAGACAGTTACTGCCAGCACATTTGTGAACTCAGAAACTTAAAGCTGCAAGAGGAACTTCAAAGCCCAACAAACTAATGGTTTGGTTTTTAGCTTTTTTTTTTTTTTTTTTAATCAGTGTCATCTTATTGAGGTCTGTGAAATCACAGTGCCAGCATCCTGAAACCTCTCTTTGGAAGTCTGTATTCTCTGTCCCTCTCCCCCTAATGAGTTCTTTATCTGAACTGCTGCCTTAGGTGAAATTGAAAAGCCAAGGAAAAGAAAAAGCACTGGCAAGGCACAGAACACAAGACCCCAGCTGTCCTGGGATAGCAGGGGTGGGGTACTCACAAAGAAGTTTGAACAAGGAGGAAAGCAAAAGTGCTTATGAGATGTTTGCTGTGCTTTTAGTGTTTTTCTCCCTGCAGTTTGCTAAAAACACAGTTTTTCATACTTGTTTCTCATTAAAGTGTGTTTTGGTTTCTCTTGGCAGCCTGAAAATATCCTGTGTGTCAACCGATCAGCAAATCAAATAAAAATTATTGACTTTGGGCTGGCAAGAAGGTACATGCACGTGTCCTTGCTCGTCATAAATTAATTAGGAAATAATAAAAAAAATTACATATCTACAATGGCATATTTGATACACAGTGGTCTCCTACTGTTCTTAAAACAGGTTTAATGTGTCTCTTTTAACTAGGGATATCTTTTAACATAAGGAATGTTTTGGAGATGAGTAAAAAAGATTTGTTCTGAAGCCTTTTTTTCAGGTAGAAGGTAGGAAAGGGTTGATTCTGACTAAGCATGCATGTAAGTATCAAAAAATGGAGAGAACCACTGGTGTATCTTGTCTGGTCTCTTGTCTGCGATCTTATGACATTCTTCAAAAGAGAATGGAAGAGACCATCAAGGGCTGTTACAATATATCCCATGCCATATCACTTTCTAGTTTAATTAGGTTCAATAACCTCAGTGAAGGATTTACTGGTTAAAAATTCCATGCCTATGATATAGAGAAGTCCCAAAAGGAAGATAACAGCTGCTCTGAGGAGTCTTTGAAATCTGAATATTTTCCTTTGTATAGCAGTTGGGTTTTGCCCTAAAGCTTGCAAACTTTTTAAATTCTATTTATTTTTACTCTGTACCTCTGTCTGTCCTTGTTTTGCTACTGAATTTCCTGTATGCTTCTGAAATCCACTAAGTGCTAGGCAACTTAGGATGCTACTGTAGAGCTGCAATGGATGGCCTCTGTTAATGTTTCCATTTCCTAGATATAAACCCAGGGAAAAACTTCGAGTTAACTTTGGGACTCCGGAATTTCTTGCTCCTGAAGTTGTGAGCTATGAATGTGTCTCCTTCCCTACAGACATGTGGAGTGTAGGAGTCATCGCTTATATGCTGTAAGTAGAACTCCTGAGCTGCTTTGTAAGCTGTTTCTAGCTCGAACTCTCTCAGTCATCCAATTTTTTTGTTATATTGGAAGACTGAAAAAATCTGTACCCATAATAGAAAATGTAGGCTTCTTTCCAAATTCCATAGTCAGTCATCTCTCCTCTTTTCCAATCACCATAAGCTTTTCTTCTTTGTTTCACTGTATATCTTTCATGAGTGTTTGAGCATCACACTTCCAGAATAACGTAGACTGCTTGGTCAGTTCCCAGGAGGTATATACAGGAGTGGTCAGGGGTCTAGAAATTGTGACCTACCATGAAAGACAGTAATGGTTGGTTTGTTAGGGAAGAAGGGTGATTCTACATGTAAGTAGAAGAGAGGATGGGAACAGTCTGGAGACTTCCTTGGACAATAACATGTTGCAAGATAGGCCAGGAGTGACAGAATAATTGTAGGTGGCACACCGGAGGAAGAAGAAAAGACAGGAGGATTGAACATATTTCTTTTTACTCTAGCCTCAGTGGATTGTCTCCTTTCTTGGGTGATAATGACAATGAGACCCTCAACAATATCCTGTCCTGTAGCTGGGATTTTGAAGATGAGGAATTTCGAGGTATTTCTGATCAGGCCAAAGATTTCATCTCAAAGCTTCTCATCAAGGAAAAATGGTATATAATCCCTATATCTATGAAATGTGTGTTCCATGCCATCATGCCAGTTGTGTCACTTGTGCTGCTCCACTGCAGACCTATTATGATTTATCCAAGATTTTTTGTGTCCGTGTAGAACAACACTTCACTGGTGTTCATTGTATCCATAAAATGCTCTGAAATTACCTGAATGCATTTTTCCTGTGAAGCAAAACTTACTTAATTCATGGCTGAAGTGCCATCTGGTGTAGTGGCCTGAAATGACAGCATTGCATGATGGCAGAACACATGACCTGTAGGAAATAACTGTTAAAATGTAAGATTATGGGAAAACCACTTAATGGCATTCTGATTTTCCTTTAGCTGGAGAATAAGTGCAACTGCTGCCTTAAAACACCCATGGTTGTCAGATCACAAACTCCACTGCAGAATCCAGGTCCCTAAATTTAAATATCCTTGTGCACTGTAGATCCGCTGTTGCTTTCTTGTGCTGCCATGTCACTACATGCTTTGGCACTTCTCTGAACTGCTTTTGAGTCTCCCTTGCTACTGCATGTCTTGCCAATGTGAGGCACGTGTGTCCCCTTGCTTTTTTTAGCTGTTATAATTTGCATGCTCACACTTGCTCATCAGTTCTTGCACTGTCTGGGAAGAAATAAAAGACCATGCAATTGCTTCCTATTGCTGATGGATCAATTGCTAGGCAAAATGAGACTATTTACAAAAAGAGCACTGAATTACCATATGAAGAGAGCTTTCCAGCTGGGGATGGTTCTGCTTCCTGCTTTGAAACCCCTTTCAGGCTCTCCTGAAGTCCCCCAGGTCCCCGTGAGCACTGTTAGATTTCATCCTGCCATCCTTTAGTTGGTTGGTGGTCAGCCTGAGGAACAGGCTGCCTTCTCTAAATGCTGCAAGAGCACAGGCTGCTTACCTGCTGTGCTGCTTCCTATCACCAGTTTTCTTCTGGGGAAACCCTACTTTAATAAACCTTACAGCTCACGTTGTCCTTTGTAGCTCCTCCCTTTTTACAGTTTGTTCCTACTGCTTGTGCTTTGTGAAATAGCTTCACTGAACATGCTGATGTGCAGCGTTCTGCCCTTACCCGAACCTGCAGGTAAGATGGGATTGAACTTCCATTAATGTTGCAATAATGGCATCTTTCTTTCTTTTTTGTTTTTCTTTTCCCACAGAAGAGTGCTAAAGGAGACTGTGTCCCCCAAGCACCCCCGGCTCAATAACCTCTCTGAAAAAGCTGCCAACCAGAAGGTTTGTTTCAGGTCCCAGGTGTTCCTTCAGGTGTAAATACTGTATCCCCTGGGAAGGGATTGGGGGCAGCTGGCACCCTGGCATGGCCCAGAGCTCACAGTCCAGCCTGTACTGGCTCCCCCCATCCCTGCTGTTGCCTGGGAAGCATTCAAAATGCCAACTGGCCCCATCACTTGTACCCAGTCACAGTAATGTGCAAGAGAATTCATATGTACGAAGCCATGTGTGCTGCAAATTTTAGGATTTTAGAGGGAGTGGTTGGGCTTCCACTGGCTCTCTTGGGGCAAGATTTCACTCAATATTTTTTCAGTGTTGAAATCTTTCGGGTTTTCATACTGTGGGTTTGGACTATGGTTTAAAACAGGTAGAAATATGAAAAGTAATTACTTTTTAGCAGAAGCATGGACCAGACCCTCAGGGTAGTTTCCCTAACTGTAGCAAAATGAAAATAAGGTGTCCCCTAAGAGAAGCTGCTCCACACTTCTGAGGACCCAGTTTTCACAGGGCACTTCTCTGCCCTTTGAGCCTGTAGTAACCCAAACAACTTTGACAGAGCATCTCTCTCTGGCCTTTTTTTTTTTTCTGTCTCCCCGTCTTTGCCCTTTCATTATCAAACACTTCATTAGTGGTTCTCAGGCTGGCTTGGTTGCCTCCTCAGGGGGTGAGGGAGACTCAAATCTGCTTCATGTTCTGTCTCTGGTCTTTGACCACAGCATACTCACTCAGCCACTTTGAAATCAGGCTACCTCCAGTGGTAAAGTATCTCCAAGGAAACAGTGCAGCAGTTCCCACAGACACTGTTACCAGCTACCACAGAAGTTGGTGCCTCTGCTGAAGGACCATGGGAACCACGCTAAGGTGCTGGGGGCATCTCTGGGCAACACGCAGTGGAAGGTCAAGATGTGAATGAGGCTGAGAACACACATACTGTAAAGCCACTTCCTTCTAGCCATGCGTCATGAGTAACAATGAAGATGCCAAAATAAAAGCAGTCTGCTTTTCACCACAGCAAGTTTTTAATGCTGCCATCATCCATTGTCTGCTTGGTAGGGCAAGTGATGTCCTGGGTTTTGTTTGCAACACCTTTTCTCCAGAAACATGTGAAAAAGGAGAGCATTGTGGGAGGTTGAAATGTTTGTTCTGTTTTGACCAAGTAAGATTAGAACAGATTTTATACAGTGTAGTAAAACAGAAGTTAATGATCTTTACGTGAGCTGACTAGAGGGCTTGAAGCTGCCTTTCCATGGCACAGCACTGGAGGTCAGGGAGGGCCAGGGGACAGCTGCTACAGCCTGCTTGTTCTCTGGAGCAGGGAGCTGGGGAGTTAGGTGGGAGTGCCCACCTCCCTGTGGTCCTCACTGCCCATCCCCGCTGCGCTGGCGCTGGGACAGGTTCCGTGCAGCTCGGGTCCCCTCACCTCTGTGCTTCCGTGTGGTGCTTTCCTGAACAGGTTTTCCCACACCGTGTCTCAATAGCTATTTCCCATTTCCAGCCACAGCAACCCAAGAGTGAAAATTCTGCCTCTGGAATGCAGGAAGCACTGTATTACACAAGTTTCTATTGCAACCAAAAGCAACTTTGAGATAAATTCTGTTCAAGAGCAGTCAAAATTATTTTTAAATAAACTTTTTATAGCTTTGTAACGTAGTAACCTACCCATGATCTAACTTGCAGGAAAACCTGTTTTTGGCTTTTCCCATGTTATTTCCTCTGTGTGTGTTTTTCTTTTTGGAGTTTATTTGAGTTTACTTAATGAGTGAATCTAAAGTCATAGCAGTGCTTTGTTTTTACAGAATCCCTTTGGCTATTTTTATCAGGCAAGTAGTATGGTTATGACATTTAACCCAAAGTAATACACTCAAGTGCTAGTTGATTTAGACCTGGCATTATAAATGCATGCAGTGGTAATACAAACAAATGGAGAGGTTTGCAGCATGCCTTTTTATGCTGTGACCTGTGTGACAAGAGAGGCAAAAAAGAGTATCTGCATTTCAAGAGAGATCTCCAAGACCATACCTCCACTTAAGAAAGAGGTCTCGTCCTTTTCAATACTGTATAACACATGTCACAGGTAAGGTGACTGCAAGGGCCCTTTATAAGCAAGAAGCTCCAGCACTGCTCTGTTTCCCTTATGCACAAAGGAACCACCCTGTGCTTGTCCTAGGAGGCGTAACCAAATAAAAAAGTATACTGCTGAATTAACTGGATTTCTGTTTTGTTTATTTTGCAGAAAGCTGCCGTGTGGTTACTGCTGCTAGGAGGTTTGAAGATACCCAAGTCTTGGTGCTTTACCCTCCTGCCGTGACCGAGACTTCTACGAAATGGACCAACAGCACTTTAGCTGCAGGACAAGTCCAAGCATTGCTGAGCTGCTTCTTCTCTATTCAGTTGTTGAAAGAAAGCATTTCTCCAGGTTGCAGGAAGTTGTTTCTTTTGGAAGATCATGTTTTCTGTGTCTGGGAGTGCTACATTGGCCTGAATTCATAACAAACTCTTCTCTGTCTTGTCTTACATTCTCATTTACTTATCAAAGGCTTTTTAAGGTTCAAATTATCAGGTTAAACTGACTGTTTCTCATCTCAGCCCAGAAGGCAGTTTGTCAATGTGCGATATCTCTGTCTGAGGCTGATTTGACACCAGAGTCAAATACTGTTAAAAAAAAATAAAAAAATTACAGCCAATTTCAAGCTGCCATATGTAGAATTGAAGTTTGTTTTTCCTGTCACACTGAAATGAGCTAAGGATTAGCTCAACCAAAGTTAAAGCCGTGTTAATGTAACACCAGTGGAAGTGAGAAATGAGGCTTTCCTTGCACATAGGTGAATTTGCTGTAACTGTGATGTGATACATTTTAGGAGTTTTTAGCCTGATTAGTTACGGTTCGCTTTAAATACACTTGGGTTAATTAAGAAAGAGAACAAGGCACTATTCACTTGTACTCATGCAGACTCTGTTCTCCAATATGCAAGTAGAATTCAGAGTTATTTTAACAGAGGGTGATTTTATACCAGCTAATTTGTTTAATGCTAATAGGATTGATTAAGACCATTGGCAAAGGGAGAATCAGTCTGCTGCTTACTATAACCTCTGGGTACAGGCCTAAGTGTAAATTCTCTGTTTTTCTAAAGTTTGCTTTTCTTATCTTGCTCCAAAGCCTTTCTGATTCTTAACTAGATAAAAACTGGGAGTCAAAACAGCTGGATTCTTTACCTGAGATTGCTTGAGTATGGCTCATCATTAAGTGAACCTGAGTGTTAGCGGCGCAGGCTGCGAGGTTAAGATAGTGAGAGTTACTCCCTGCTGTATATGGCTTTCTGACTGCTTGGTTTCAGAACTACATAAATGCAAAGTATGATTGATTAATTAAGATTGATTGATTAATCCAGTTCTGATCAAACATTAACATAGCTATCTCTAAATATTTATAAATTTAATATGTATTTATATTTAAGTTATGTCTTTAATTTTTTAAAGGGGATCAACATAAAGACAAAACAGTATTATTAATTATCAGCACCCAATGAATTGTTTTTCCTATCTTTGCCCTTTCTGGATAGCATTCATATTGAAATAGAAGGGTCCCATTAATGGGACATTGTGGCCATGACATTCTCTACAGCCAGTTTGATCCAATTTTTTAAAGCCATTCTAGCAGATCTCTTAAGACTGCTCCTGCAAATGAATAGGGCTTCTTACAGCTGTGAAATCTAAGGCGTACTGATGTGTTGAACTAGTTGTTGCAAATACAGGAGATCCATCACTCCTATCACACAGTGACTTGCCATTTCGTTGGAATACTGCGTAGAGCGCTGCCACCTTCAAATCCTTATCTGTAGTCTTAACTAAAGGAAACTGTTACTACCAGAAATTGATGTTTCTTTAGGAAAAGACTACGCAGTCTCAAAGCAAAAAAATGAACTTATGACTTGTAGGCAGAAACTGAGCTGCTTATTTTTAGTCACCATTTATATTTGCCTGTGCAAAATAATAAATAGAAAAGCTACCTTTCTGCTAGGGCTGGAGGTTCTACTCCTTTTCTGATTGCCTTCAAGATATTGTAGCTTTTTGTACAGTAAACAACTCAATGATCAAGCTAAAATGCAGCAGACCACTTCGGAATGACAAGATCTCCTTATGCACTTCAGTGCCAGTATTGTAGGGTTGGGTTGCAGGTTTCGTTTTTCCTGTTTGTTTTGTGGTAGATTTTATATGGGTAGGAATAAATTGCATGTCATTTTGAATCTTACTAACTATACTAAAATAACAGTGTGACTATAGTCTTATCTTCTTTGTTGCTCAGTTGAATTAAGAGTATTTATTTGTGGATATATACATCTGGGTACTAGTTAAGTGCTTAGTGCCATGAAGATCACCTCTGTGTTAATATTTTGTGCTGAGTCAGCCACAAATCCTCCATGAGCTGTAGGGGAACGTGGCCCCTGTTAGGCACATCACAGAGTTCTCCTGTACAGCAGGTCAGAATTCTGTTTCTCTGTCAGAAATATGTACACATGAATTACTAGGGAGGGTGGTAGAGCTCGGCATATTTCAGATGCTTTTTGTGCCCTTTCAGAAGGAATGAGTTGAGAGGGCACCTCCCAAGCCTCTTGCTTGTGCAGCTGGGCAGTGTGCTAATATACTCAAGGGATTTAACTTTCATTCTGGTCAGTGTGGATAATGATGGTTATATTTTGAGTCTTTTCTGTAAACTGCTCCACTGCTTTATCCCTGAAAGAGCTCTCATAGTGGGTGACGAGGTTGTGGCAGGGAGTTGGAGGAGGCTGGGCTGAGTGATTCTGCAGTGGCTGAAGGTGCCATTTAGTGCCCAAGGTTAAGCTCCAGTGGAGGAGGGAAATAGCTTGTTATGGCCCCATGGGCTCAAGGTCTGCAGCACCAAGTCAAAAGGGAGGCACATTACCAAGATCATTGTTGTTATCAAGGATAAGAATGTTATGCTGCTGTGTGATTACCA